CCCCCCCCCACCCCCCCCCCTCCAAAAATTGGGGGCCTAAGTCACACTCCTTACTCCACATAAGGTTGGAGCGGGCCTGAAACGATGGTAGCATCATACCAAAGAAAGATGTCTTTATGCATATATATCTTATGGTTTTCATTTCCATATAAGAAACTATACGACAGTTGATCAAAGTTCAACAACATTTACTTGATAAGCATACAGTTGATTGGAGGACACTATATCGCCTTAACTATATATTCTCTCCGTACAGTAATTGTTTTTGTTTGGCCATTTTAGAAAAGCAAAATTTTGCCCGCTATAATTGGGTAGTGATCACTTAGATATCCAATATTGCTTCTCCTTCCTGCGAGAGAAGTACAAAGCTCAAACTCTAATCCATACGCTTGGATTTTACTAAACGTTGAAAATTACAACACATCTTATTTTTTGGAATTAGAATTATATTAGAGGTGGACGACGAACAAAAAAGCAAACAATGCAAATTCAAGAATCTGAATTGCGACTTCTTTTAGTGGTAATTCAAACTCGTGCTCCACCCACTTATATGTACCGTTTATCTAGTAAATAATGAGAAATTGAGCTCCCATGCATGCACTTGTAGATGAGGTGAGAGTAGCAAATACAGTAATGGGTTTGGAGCGCGCGGGTTCAAATGCTAGTATTTTCTACTCGAACCACAATTATTTTGAATTCATTAAATATAATTCTGAATTCACTTTTAAGAAATGGTGCTAGATAACGGTATTTGTATCCGAAGAAGTGAGCGTGCCAGGGCTCAAAAGAGAGGAACACCATGCAAAAGAAGAAGGCGATAGAGGGAAGCTGCATGCCCAGAGGACTACTGCATGCTCCAGATATAGTATTATCTGATGGATTTCGGGGTCTAACATGACTTTCTTGTGCTTCACTAATTGACTCATTAATAGCCTCAGCAGTTTATATCATGACCATTGAATTTTTGGAGGAGGAGGGAGGAAAGAACTCTTTCAATTGCCCACCAATATTATTGTTACTTGATAATGAGGTTGGTGAGAGATCAAGAGGAGGAGGTGCGACCTGTTGAAGGCATAATTAATTTGTTAAATTCAATATGATATCAGAGGTAAAGGTCACACTGCTTCAATTCGCCTAATAAAGAGTAAGGTGAGGGCCGTGCCTAAGATATAAATAATTAATTAAAATGCATGTTTTCTTTAACAACTTACTATTATTTTAGATGAGATGGTCACATAATTTAACATTACCTCTTATAAACGCCGGGAGCCGAAGCCCGAGGGGGAATTGGAGTACTGGGATTGAAATTCAGATGCTGCGGTTAGCATTTGGACAACTTCTCTGAAATTAACAGCCTCCACCCTATAGATTTTTGGGGGGAATTGGTGGAGATGGAGCTATGGGTTTCTTGGTGATTGGTTTTGATGGAAGGCTGCGAACTCTACGGAGAGAAGAATTGTGTGGTTTTTCTTTCTTTTCTTCTTGTGGATGAACATCAAAAGAACTTGAACTAGAGTAAGAAGAAGAATACGTTTTATATGAATATGACTCCATTTTGGTTATATATGTATACCTAAGTTCGAACTTTTCTGACGAATATAATATTTGTATTAACTGGACAGCTTGTTAAGAAGAATATCTGTATATGGCTTTTGAGTCCTTGTATATATAGAGAAGGAATGAAATGATGTGAAGTTTGTCTTGAGCGTCGGCTATGGCTGAAGCTGAAAACATTAACAACTTATAATGTCCAGTTCACAAGTTTGACTTCATTTAAAATTTTGCTTCCATTATTATTTAAAATCTTCCCATCAATTGTATCCATTTTCAAATACCTTATACTAATAATGGAAAAAGGGCAAAAACAAAAGGGACGATTAGATAGATATATTTTGGTGCTTAGTTTACCTTTGTTCTACATTTCTTGTATTTACAATTTGGATTAATGTATGGGCAGATATAACAATGGTACAGTACAACTGTTACTCTGTTTTATGCTCTAAATATATCTAATTAACCAGAAAAGAATGCTAAATGTCTTATAAATTGAGAGATTAATAAATTGGAAACTATTTATGTAATTGACGATAAATAGGGCCAGAGACAGTCTATTAAGCTAAGTTTGTTAATAAATAATATTAGAGGAACTTCAATAAGGTGGAACCGTGCAACGAACCGTCAAACAGTCTATTCAGATCTACGCGGCACTTTCAAACTCCATTTTCAAACTTCGAGATATTTAAATATTCAACCCCTTAACTAAATCAAACACAATCATTTTCCTTGACATATTAAAGACAGAATTCTTCTAGAACTATCATCCTGAATTGTTGACTGGCGCCAATTTAATTTGCTGTCATGTTATCTGTGTTTTAAAAATTTGTAACTATTTAAGAAGGACGCTTAATAATCCTAATTATATACTCCCACTCGTCCATTTTAAGTGCTCCATTCGGTCCATAATAAGTGATTTTTTCCTCTTTTTATTTTGATCTAAAATACTAAGTGACCTTTTACATA